AGCACAACGTTAGTGCTGGAAGTGCCCTGCACTGCTGCAGAATCGTCCTAAAAGATGTTTTGTTGACGCTTACGTGGCACTTGCTCCGCACTGGCTTTGTGCCCGAGGCACTTGCCGGAGACAGCCTCGGCCCTCTTGGCCCATGCCAGGGGCCCAGCGAGCGGGCGGGGCGCTCCAGCGCCCTTGTGGGGAGCCGGGCCGAGGCTCGGGTGAGCGGAGTCGGGGAGATCCTCTTCTTGACCAAGGACGCGGAACGACTGTTCGACAGTACCTTTCTGACAAAGAGAGAGACGCGTGGAGAGCACGCGTCGCGTCTGCTCCTGAGGAGCAGATGGCCTCTCAGCGAGGGCAAGGACGGAGGAAAATGCACTATGACATACTGTAGCGTCCCAGATTTCCGCCCCCCGAGTTTTTACTCGGCTTCAGGACAGCTCCTCTGCCCTGATTGCGGCCAGTTCTTCGTGGGCGAGCGGGGTCTGCAGGCCGCTCCCTCGGCAAAGCTCGAGGGGTCCCGGAGCAGAGAGAGCAGAGAGCCCTGCCATGGGGATTGCAGGAGGACCACCATGTCAGATGCAGCCCATGATCATTGCGACCAGTCACCATCAAGCGACTCAGTCGACAGTGGTACAATACATATATAATCACTTCCCCCATTTATTANNNCTAAATCTACCCAGAATTAGCCCCGCTTAGGGGGGGGGGGTTAGGGTTAATCCCTTCCCACATTGAACCCTCGCCCGCGGCTGCCTCCCTGCGAGTCGTCGAAGAGCCTTCGGCCCGAAGGTCCGGCGGGGGCGTGACACAGCGCGCGGACGCTTCACAGACGCTTCGCGGATTCTGGCGAACAGCTCGCTTCGACAACTCAAAAGCGCAGCATTTTGTCGACTCCTAGCCGTCGAACCCCTAATTACGTTTAAAACGGGAACCCTTTTGCTACCCATTCGGGAAAACGTTATTGCAAGTTGGGGTTCTTCTTTGCCGTATCTACCACTTTATCGCACTAAACAACGCGAAAAGAAATCATCCCGTGCAGTTGCTTTCCAGTGTGATGCAAGTGGCACGGAGACTGGCGGCACGTGTAAGCAGAAGCAGTCTGAGTCTAGGCCGGCACCCCCTTTTCACAACTCGGCACTTGAACGCGACTCAGACGTGCAGTGCAGGACCACCAGCGCAAGAAGCACAGCAAGGCCGACTACAAATGACTGCGAGTGTTGTTGCACTGAATGCCAAAAAAGCGCAGGCCGTGACGGAGGCTTTGGACGTGGTGCATTGGAGCAGGCTGCAGCTCGTGCCGTTGCGAACACCCGTCGCATCGCCAAAGACGGAGCCCAGCAAAGGCCCGAGGGCCCGAGAGCACGCCTTGCATGGGCGGAATGGGAGCTTCAAGCGACTCGCAGGTCGTCGCGTCCATTTGGACGAAGGCCTGCGCGCGGTTCCTGGAAGTGGTTTCGGCAAAGGAGTCCCAACGCAGCGGGCTCCGGCGGGCTCCGAGGTCTCGCGGCGGCCGGGGACGTGAAGGCTTTGGCGGCGTTGCTCCACGCACGGCCGCGGCCGCGGTGGGACCTCGAGACGTGCGACCAGCACGGCTCCAACGCGCTGCTCTGGGCAGCAGGCCGGGGGGGCCGGGCCGGAGTTCTCGCTGAGTTCGGCTCTCTCTGTCTCCTTCACTTCCTTCCTCTTCCTCCCGTCCACAGGTGGGGGCCACTTGGAGACTTGCCAGCTTCTGGTGGCTGAGGCCACATCGACATGACCTTCTGCAGACGTGGAGCCAGTCCGGAAAGTCTGTGTCGCGACC